TGTCAGTTACATCGCAAAGAAGCTACGGTCTGAAGTTGAGAACAGCAAGCCGGTATGAATACAATCAGAGTCCTTTAAGTTGCGAACTTGGCTTCTCAAATGATGGATACATATACTGGTGAACCTGTTAGGACTCTGCTCCTGTGTGCTTATGTGCAAAATTAACTTTTTGAAACAAAGCACTGGGTATTTCTGAGAGACATCTAAGAGTAACAATTCACCGTCAATATGACCCAGTAACCATCCTGGGAAACTGGGAACCAAGTGACTCTCAAATCCTGAGTTGGATAAAGAATTTTATTCTTCTCACTTTTAGTTTGACAATAACAGTTAGGTCTAGAAATAACATCGCACACCAGTGAAAGTCTCTTTTCTTAATATTTGTGTCTGAGTCAGCAGCCTACATGCTGACAATCTTGCATGCAATTCTGCTCTGCTAAGATCTGCCGACTTAACTGTGTTTAGGTAGCTCAGATAAGCTTTAAATAAGCATCTGAATTTCTGGGTACTTATGGAAAATGAACCAAATTCCTCTCCTTTTGAGATTCACTTATGTCTGATTCAAATGCATTCATGTAGGAATAATAGGTCTTGCTTTACATACCTAAGCTTACCATTAATATTAAACAATGAATTTAATGTTGTCAGCCACGTGGTACTTCATTCATTCCTGTGAACAGGAATCTTTTGTGTTTATTTTATTTCCAGCTGGTAAAATGTTACGTTATTTGCTTCTTCTTAAAACAACTGCTGTTTTTCTCTGGGGAATTGAGGCATGTCATGGAAAAGTGCAATCATGATTCCAACAGACTGCATGATATAAAAACCATAAAATTGTACATAGTGTCGGGATGTGGTAATGTAACAGCAGAGGAGGCTGCTGGGGACAGGCTTTGTTTTCCTGGTCTCATTAAAATCCAGTTACTGCTTCCATTTGTTTATATATTGGATTCCCGTTAACATTGATTATATGCTGTTACTGTTTTCTTACTAAATTAAACTTGCAAGTCGAAAAGCTGAACACCACTAAGAGTATTTATTTCCTTATAATCGGTTGGCTTGTAATTAGGATCAACTGCCTACTTGGGAAGCGTATCTGGTTCATGAGCCCAAAGGACAAGTTTCTACAGATGATGTTCTCTGAGGCCTTAGAAAAAGTTATCAGAAAGGTCCCCTTTCTAAAAATCAAATAAATAAATAAATAGCTGCTGATAAAGTTAAGCTTAGCAACAGCGTATCCTAGTTTAAAGCAAATTTTAGAGCCAGATTCTTTAACCCTCAATACAAGTTTACCACTTAAAAAAAAAAAAAAAAAAAGGCCAAATATCAAATGTTTTAACCTTCTACTATCCTCCAGGCACTGCAATTCATGCTTGTTTGTATCCATTTCGTCCTCATACCCTCACACCATTCTTTGAAGGAGATGATTTGCCCCCTCCTTTTCATAGGTGACGAAATTCAGGAACAGAGTGGTTAGGTTACCTGCCCGTGGTCACACAGATATTAAACACCTGAACTGGGATCTGAGTCTCTCCTCGAACATTTAAACGATTTTGCTCATGTAAGTGGTGATGATCTCAACATAATCAAGTTGCGCAGACTTGTCTCTCACCAACTCACTTTGCAGCTTCTGCAGCTCCACCTGGTGTCAACGTTCACAGTTTTTCCTTCTGCAGTTAGTGGGCTTAGATCCCTCCAGCTCTTGACTTATTGACGTCCTCATCTATAAAATGGTGTGTCGTGTGTACCCGCTTCAGTGGGCTGTTGTGACATCACAGAAGATGGCACACGCAGTGTCTACCGGACCATCCAACACATTCAGAACTGTCTCCCCTTGCACCTTATAACTCTGTCTCCCATCCACTAAATAAGAGAAAGTTCTAACTGCCCTTTCTCATTTTCCTTTTCTTAGTGCATGCTAGCCCAACATCCTCTTGAAGAGAAATGGAGAAAGAGAGTTCTTTCCTGCCACACAGGGACGTCACAGAAGCGTGTGAAACTTCTTAATCTTCTTTTACCAAATAGAAAATTTTCAGTCACTTTATTAATTCACTAATTAATTAATAATCACTCTTCGGATCAACAGTTTTTTTTTTGTTTTTTTTTAATTTTTTTTAACGTTTATTTATTTTTGAGACAGAGAGAGACAGAGCATGAACGGGGGAGGGTCAGAGAGAGAGGGAGACACAGAATCTGAAACAGGCTCCAGGCTCTGAGCTGTCAGCACAGAGCCCGACATGGGGCTCGAACCCACGAACTGCAAGATGGTGACCTGAGCTGAAGTCGGCCACTTAACCGACTGAGCCACCCAGGCGCCCCATCGGATCAATAGTTTAATTGCATACGAAAGATGTATTCAAAAATACCCAGTTTTAAAATGTTTGAACTATGAACTTTACAAAAACTTTTAAGCGAGATATAAAGTGTTTCATATGCCTACACACACAATTAACTAACAGTTTGCTACATTTTATTTTTAAGGAATTTTTGTTTAATACATGAATTTAAGTTTACTACTTAATCAGCAAGCCGAACAAACACACCAAGCCGTGCTGGAATTTCAGTTTAAAGAGAACACTGGCTTCAACTAATGCTATTTTCAACGTCCCCGAGTAGTGAAACTACCCCATCAATGATGTTCTTGCCTAGCACTTGGATGGTTTACAAAAAAGTACATTTATGCATGAATTTGGCCACCCTTAACCACTCTAAGGACAGATGCTGTCCCTTTTTATGGAGTAAGAAACTGAGTCCTACAGTGTAGGTGACTGGCTCAAGGTTACACAGCTAGCTGGTAACAGAAATGGGAATGAAATCAGGACTTCTGATTCCAAATTCTTCCCTGTTTCTAGCACATACACTACAAGTAACATAAGTAGCCTTAAGACACGCTAAGACATCAATATTATCATCGACATCCAATATTCACAAGTTAATGATGATAAATTTACGATTTCACCTTATCAAATAAATTAATAATGTATTAACTCATTGAACAAGTATTATTACTAAATAATTGTCAGATAAATGTTAATTATTATTTTAATTAACTGAATTATTGGAATAATTTACTAGATTGATAATAAGGATAATAATTTAATGACATAAAAAAAACTAATGAGACTTCCTCTCTTATTTTTAAATCCTTTCTTTTTCAAAATGTTATCTTAGAAAGTCCAAATGTTTTTATTCCTTGTTTGAAGTTTCTAGACCTTTTTAAACTGAATTTTTATTGTCAATCAACTTTGGCTGTACTTCAGAAACTTACCCTAGATTCTCACTCCCACCATCATGACCCTGCAGCCTAATACTCTAAAAACCCTCTCTAACCAAAATGTTCTACTTCTCAGCTTCCTTTCACCCCTTCTTTCTTGACACTTCTCTGTTAACTTCATCAAAGCCCTGACCCTTCCGTCTTCCTTTGAGACTGTCTACCTTCTCCTGGTTTCTCTCTCTGCCCTGCTCAACCTCAAGCCCCATTGTCCAGAGGTGATAGCCTATTTTCTTATCTCCAGAGCACTCCATTTCTTGCACCTGGAAACTTCTATGGTGTCTCCCAGCAAAACACCAAACCCAAATCAGTGATATCTGTCCAGAGAAATGAGTGTCTCTGAAGACACCACACCGGAGCGACTTGTTCCTACTCACTATATTCCTGTCTCACCTCAGCAAAGCTGAAACCACAGCTACCAACACTCGTACTTGACTGCAGTCAACATACTCTCACTTCCTCCGGGTAAAGCAGACAATGAGACCTACTAAGACTCTTAAATCACTCCTGCCCCCAGTTTCCCTGGGATCTTACTCCATGAGCCATCAGAAGCACATTCAAGTTTTTCTCAGTTTGAAGATATAGATAGATGATAGATAGATAGATAGATAGATAGATAGATAGATAGATAATAGGTAGACAATAGATTGATAGATGATTAATGGTGGTAAATGAATGAATACATAGATGTAACTCACTTGATTCTCAGATCCTTAGAAATACAGTACAATGTATCTCCTCATCTTCACAACTTAACCTTTAGGAGGCACTATATTCCAAAGGCTATAGTCTCTGTTCCTCATTTTCAAGTCACTTCTCAACCCACTTACAGGGGCTTTTTGTCCTCACTTAAACTTACCACAGAAAATCTCCAATGACCCCCTTAGCTGCCAAATTAGTGGATACTCTTTCATACCACTGCTTAATTGACACTGTGAATTATTCCCTTCTGGAAAAGTCTACACTTCTGTGATTTCTAAGATTGTGAGTAACCTCTTTTCTCTCTCTCTCTCTCTTTTTTTTTTTTTGTTCTTCTTTCCCTCTGTTCATTGATGAAACATTTGTGTTTCTCAATGTCCTGTCATCAGCTCACTGGTGAACTCATTTTAAATGCTTTCTCTGATTGTCCTCATTCATTCTGGTGCTTTCAACTAGTGTGATCATTCCCATATATATATATATATATACTCACAAAGAGCTGTACATATGCATAAGGGTATCTGCAAATGTACATAGGAATGGGTATGTGTGTGTGTGTGTGTGTGTGTGTGTGTGAATGTGTGTCACTACACACACAAAAAAACAAAACAAAAATCCATAAATATCCATAAATGTCTCCAGCCAGTCCAGCTGTCTTCCCCAGGGTTTGGGAATCACATAATCAACTGGCTTCTGGAGATCTCTCCCTACACACCCTATGCAGATGTAAACTCAATGCTTTAAAACTGAATGTATTTTTTTTCTCCCAGATCAGTGCTACATCCATTGAGACCCCTAAATTAAAAACCTGAAATTCATCTTTGACTCTTTTACTATGTATTTCTAATCAAACATAAAGTCTTATTAATTTTATTCAATCAATATTTTTTCCTCTACTTCCCTTGTCTAGAAAAACATCCTGACTCAGTGGGATTACTAAATGTCCAATCCAATCGTTACCTCCAAATGGTCCATCATCTGGAAAACACGCAATATGGAAATACCCAGATCACTTGTCTACCTAAAAATCCTGTGTGTCGCACACAGCCTTCAAGTAATCAAGGCTCAGGGGAAGGGAGAGGGATTTGTAAACCCTGGAGCAAGCTTCTGCCTACTGGCGACCGCTGCTATGTAGAGACCCTGGGTGAAGCCACCATCACCATGTCTGACCAGGAAGCAAAACCTTCAGCTGAGGACTTGGGGGATGAGAAGGAAGGAGAATACATTAAACTCCAAGTCATTGGACAGGAGAGCAGTGAGATCCACTTCAAAGTGAAAATGACAACACATCTCAAGAGACTCAAAGAAGCATACTGTCAAACACAGGGAGTGCCAGTAAATTCAGTCAGATTTCTCTTTGCAGGTCAGAGAATTGCTGGGAATCACACTCCAAAAGAACTGGGAATGAAGGAAGATGTGATTGAAGTTCATCAGGAACAAACAAGGGGACATTCAATGATTTAGATATTCTTTTTTTTTGTCTTTACTCTCAATCCTTTTTTATTTTTAAAAATGTTTTTTTATAATGTAGGTGTTCAACACAGACTGGAAAACGGGCACCCCATCTCTTTAAAACATCTGATGATTTGAATTCTCGTGTCCATGATTCATTTCCACTTGTTTTCGTTGTGCTGATTTTTGGTGATCAAACTTCAGCCCCCTTCATATTGCACTCTCCTTTTTAAAAATTACATGTGAGCACAGAAAGGCCACCTTTTCCGGGTCTGTGTATTTTCAGGCTTGCGATAAATAAGATCAAAAAATGAGGGTGTTCATAATAACTTTCCAAACGACCCTGAAGTCCCCACATCTGATTGCTTCACTCCTGGACTATGACTGTGGGTGATGGAAGTTTTTCAGAAAACTGAACTGTGAAAACATGACCTTTCCTTAACTTGAAGCTCCTTTTAAAATGTGAGGGTCTGAACCAAAAGAAGAGAAACATCAGGGGCACCTCGGTGACTCAGTTGGTTAAGCTTTAGACTTTGGCTCAGGGCACGATCTCACGGTTCATGAATTCAAGCCCCACATCAGGCTCTCTGTTCTCAGCCCAGAGCCTACTTCAAATTTCTGTCGCCCTCTCTCTACCCTTCTCCTGTCCATGCTCTCTCTCTCTCTCTCTCTCTCTCAAAAATAAATAAACATTAAAAAAAAGAGAGAAGAAAAATATCAGACTGGAGTCAAGACGTCTGTCAAGGGACAGTGAAAGTGAAGACTAACTCCAAAGATGGCTTCACTGAAGAAAAAGTATTTTAAGATAAAAGAAAAATCTTGTCAGAAGATCCCAGAAAAGTCCTAATTTTCATTAGCAGTTAATAAATTTACTCATGCAGAAGTGTATTCAACAGAACCCTGCTCTTTTTTAATTTTATTTGTACTTTTTGGCCGGGGATATGGGTTTCCAATGGAGATTGTCTGTACCACTTTCATTAAAATAAACAAACGATTTGTAAAAGCCATAAAAACAAACAAAAACAAAGACCAAACACAAAACCAAAAATCAAGGCTTATTCCCTGCAATTTCCTTTACCTCATCTCTCCAAGACATATTGAACTCAAGGGCAGACCCAGCTCTGGTGGGGCCCAAGGCAGCTACAACGTGGTGAGGGAACCCTTTTCAAGGAAAAAAAAAAAATGATCCAAAAGGAAATATTTATTTCACATGAAAAAAGAAATCACAACAAATGTCGAAACCTGGACATGTAGGTCCCCATCCTGGACCTCTTAGTAGGCAAATAAGCAGAAATGTTGACACAGAAATGGCTCCAGATCTCAACCTGGCCATCTTTTCCACCTAAAGCCTCCACAACCTGCAGCAACTCCTAGAACTCATCAGGGACTGTTCAGGTAAGAGAACCTGATGATGCAACTTAACTGGCTTTCCAGTGAACTCCACTCTCCTTGAACTTTAAGTTCCAGCAAGCTAACCAGTGTTTCAAACACACATCCCCTGTGCTGCCTTTTTTGCCTTTGCTCGTGCATGAAATGCACTTGTCTGTTCCATGCTCTGGACAGCCTTCATCCCTCCATCTTGCCTAAATCATTTTAATTTATTGTTCAACATCTAGCTCAGGTGTTACCTGATTCTTCCAATCTGGGTGACTCCTCTTCTCGGGGTTCTTTTAATTCCAAGTGGAGCTCTTTCCAAATATTTGCAAGGCCCAGGGCAAAAATTCAACGGGAAGCCCTCTTGTTCCCTATCCAAATATTTGAAAGTTATAAACCCAGCTGACAAACTGCTAAATAAGATATATTCTTTCCTCCTGCCCTGAGAAATATATCTTCTGGATGGCTGAGTTCAAGGTTAGAATGCTTGAACTGCTGGCAGGTCAAGGCCAGAACCGGACACACTGGGAGAGCTGGCCCCAGCCCCACCATCACATTGACCTCTCTGCATAACCAGCTCCCTCCTCAAACGTCCTTCCACACTGCAATAGCTTCCACATACACACACACACACACACACACACACACACACACACGTGGACTGCCAGCCCCGTCCAAGCTCCATCTGTTACCCTGCAAACAGCTACCCCAAGACCGTCCCTCAGGCCAAGGTGTGTGCATACATACCTGCGGCACAGCCCAGAAAATGGACTTAGGACAAAGGACAGTGCAGAGAATTCCAAGCCCAGTGCATGATCCAGACAGGGAGACAAACTCTGGGTTGATTACATTCACTTGGCTCTCCAAACTCTCCCACCTATGGGAAGGGCCATAGCCAAAGCAGAGACCAGAGTGAGGCTTTCCAGAGCACACACAGGCCAGGGCTGGAGCCCCTCTTGCCTGGGTCTCAGGGAGATACTGTTTGAGTGAATGATAGCTACATCTCCCCGTTATACTGTGAGCTCTTTATGAGCAGTGACTGCTTCTTAATCCATTGTTGCCAACAAACTATCAATGCCTGAAAATAAAATGATAGAATAAATGGGCGAAAAAGGAAGCACAGCATACATCTGGGCCTGGAAAGCCTATAAAATCATGATTCTTGGGATGTTTTTGTTCCACATAACAATCTCCACCAGGCTTCCTAACTGATCTCTACGTCCTATTCACAGAGAAAACGCTTCCCAGCAAGAGGCGCGGCTTCTTTAATTAAGCACAGTGAGCTAGAATGACAAGTAAAAATACAGTGATTTAAAATATTTAGGTGGTGGTCAGGAATATGCCCGTTTACAACGAGTCTGCCATGAGTCTGCCATACACTGACCAGGATTTGCAAATACAAATACTGGTTGAGGCAACACCAAGAACCATCTTCAGAATGAAGTTCAGTTGTCACTTACCAATAAATACAACTGCCTGGGAGCAGATTCCTCCCTGATTCTGCACTGAGACTCTGAGTGCTGTAAGCACAGGGGAGGGAAGAATAAAAAATGGTAAAAATAAGAGATAATAAAGTCACATAACTTTTTTTAAAAAATGAATGCAGGGGCACCTGGGTAGCTCAGTCAGTTAAGCTCGGGCCATGATCTGAAGGTTGGGGAGTTCGAGCCCTGCGTGGGGCTCTGTGCTGACATCTCAGAGCCTGGAGCCTGCTTCAGATTCTATGTCTCCCTCTCTCTCTGCCCCTCCCCTGCTCGTGCTCTGTCTGTCTCTCTCTCTCTCTCTCTCTCTCTCTCTGTCTCAAAAATAAATAAATTTAAAGAAAAAAAAACGGATGTATAGTACCTAACACACTAACTGGCATAAAGTGTGCAATATGTGGTACCTTCAAAGAGGAAAATGACTTTGAAAAGGGTCAGTCCCACCCAGTGTGGGTCCTGATTCTCTTCGGCTGGGCAAAGGCAAAGAGAAACTGTGCAGCGAAGTATCTCTGTCGTACACAGCTGCAATTTCGGCTGTCACATCTCAAAAAAATTCAAGGAGCATTTTTTAAAACATGTTATTGTTATGAAAGAATTTTGCTCCCAGAGAATTCATTAATCAAAGTATCGCTGCAAGCCCTGTACAAAGTCTGTGATGTTTCCTTTTTCATTCAGTTTACAGAGGAATGGGCTGCAACACTGGGTGATGGAGTAGAAAGAAAAGGGACGTTGGAATCAAACTCTGGCCTTGAAGAAGATCTTACACCTTGGAAACGTTACTTAGTTTACATTTGCTTTGATTTTCTCCACTCTAAATTGTAGTTAATGATACAATTGTTTGTTTCAGAACTGTTCTTTGAAGTTTAAATGTAGTGGTTTATGTGAGGCACCTTCATAGTGCCTTACACTGAGGATGTTTGATAAATGTAAATAAGTTGTGTCTAAAATACAATAGTCGTTCGTAGGGGCACCTGGGTGGCTCAGCCGATTGGGTATCAGGCTTCGGCTCAGGTCATGATCTCATGGTTTGTGGGTTCAAGCCCCATGTCGGACTCTGTGCTGACAGCTCAGAGCCTGGAGCCTGCTTCCGATTCTGTGTCCCCCTCTCTCTTTGCTCCTCTCCCACTCATCTCTGTCTCTCTCTGTCTGAAAAATAAAATAAAACTTTAAAAAATTAAAAAAAAAAAAACAATAGTCAGTGTATGGCATGTCACCCAGGACAAAGATACATTAAAATCAACCATTGCCAACTTGACTTTCTAGTCAACAATCAACTATGTTTTCATGTACTGGTGTGACTGTTGCTTTCACCAGGTATACTTGTTTAATCATGATGTATGTCTTATTAAGTCTTACTTTGTAGTCTGTAAAACCCTGGATTTTTCACATAAAATTAAGTACGTATACCGTTGGTTCATATGTCAGACTGCTTCAATTACTTGACATAAATTATCACATTTAATTGCACATACCAAAAGCAACAAATAAATGCTTGTGTAGATTGGATTTAATTTGGACTTTGATTTGCTTTTGACTTAACTTTGATTTTTTTTCACTAATATTAGCATTATTTGCTAGGCTCCTATTAGATATTGAATGAATCCATTCTTCTGGACTTAGATTTTGCTTGAAGAATATTGAGTGTGTGTGTGTGTGTGTGTGTATGTGTGTGTGTGTGTGTGTTTTAATAATTCTCAAACCAAAAACTAAAATGTCAGACATGGGAAACTTCACAACCACCTTATTTTCGAAAATTGCCTGAAAATTTGTGACAGTTGTCCTCACATATAAAAGCAATTTTCCTAATGCCATTGTTGCCATTAATGATGATGTGTACCAGTGGCCTCAATGAATCCAGCATCAGAGCTCTTGACTGACTTTTGAAATTCTTATTCGTATTTTTATTAACACTCCATATAATGTCTTTTCATTTTCTCAGACTCCACACCTGGAAATGCCTCCTCATATCTGTGTCTGTGTCATAAAATGCACCTAAACCTGGAAGTTAGTGAAAAAGGACAATAAATTAGAAATCTAGAAGCCCAGGAGGACTCTTAGATTTGCCACTAATACCAAATGAATCATTAACCCTTCTGACAATATTTTTAAAGATAATATATGAGAATTGCAACCATTTACATTTGTATAATAATATGCGGCCTTTAACAAGATTTTAATACATAACATATCTAATTGAAGCCAAAACAAAACAAAACAAAAACCAAAAAACCCATGAG